CCCCCTCCAGCGGTCAGAGCCAAAATTCTCAGAATCCTGCCTTGGAAACACCGACTTCGGGCACCATACGCCTCTTCGACTATATTTTTACTCTGCTAGGTTTCCTTTACGGGTAAATCTTTTATATATTGCCCGCTTTCTGATTTTAACCCATATTGATAAAATTTTAGGCAAATGAACGGAGGTTGTATGTGTTTCCAGAAGCTGAGAGACATTAATCGTTGTCAGCAATGATTATTTAATATAGCTTGATGCTGAATCAGTATTTAGTCCACAATCATGGTAAGAAACCTGTATACAACAAGTAATGACTGCTAACTAATTGCCAATGCCCAGATCATTTTCAATACATTTTTTTAGCTAACTAAAATAAAACAAAAGCTGCGGGAACTATGCAATATTTGGAGATGGTTTCTGTCTTATGGATACGGCTGAAAAGTAGTTTATCTACTTATAATCTGGAATGAGTCACCAACTTAGTAGAGGGCGTTTGGTAGCTTTGCATAATTCATTTGGTCCACTTGTGAAAAACTCGGCGGCCCCGGTGAAATTCGAATCCACGTCGGCAAGTGGAAGACTTTATTACAGCCAACGATCTAGCTAGCTGAGCTACGAGCCCCCCTCACCGGAGACCGTGAGGTTCATCACACTTGGGTCAAGTTACCCGTCCATAAATTTGCATCTCGTGATTGACAGGCCGAAATTGGCCGCTGATGCATGATCGAGGTGAGAGACTGAGGCACCTTTCCTTGAACTCATTCTGGACTATACTAAATTGGGCGAGTTCTAAACCAGTAGGACACATCAAAAGTCACAGCTTGGCGGGTTTTCAGCTGAGAGAGAACTTTTTTGGTTTGTGATCTGAGTAAGACCTCCATGACGTCCTTTTAATGAGGCCAAGGGCGTACACACTCCAGTGAGATTAGACACTGTTTTCCATCTTAAAAACCTACTGTGTGCCGATGTTAGAATCAGGTCCTGTATGTCGGTTTTGTCAGTCACTTCACCCGTGCACATCGTCGGTCGGTTTGACTCTGTCTCACTTTCAAACTACGGTGCCTTCTGGGGCCCGTGGTGTACCGATTCGTTCGCGAACGTGAAAGTAGAGTGACTGGGAGCATGATATCTGTATGCCGATCGTTTCATCGCGCAAGTGCTACATATCAATTCCGGAAAGACTTGCTTAATTGGTTATCCGAACTAAAGAGATTACAATTTTCTTTCGTGATGGGATACCTAACTCTTGGAGTGGTACCAAAAACACTTGTTTGGTCTTGTGGGTTCTAACTGGTGGTTGTACTCAGATCACTACAATCATCAGATAGAATTCCAGGTTGGAGGTAAAGGGCAAGAGTAACC